TATTCCTGTGCATATTCGTGACATAATTTTTGTGTACATACCAAACAAACTGGCATTTTACAACTTACGCATAAATACGAAGGTGGTACAACTCTAATATATGCCCTAATTTCATCAAATGTGGCGATATGTGTTCTGCGCTGGATTTTGGCACGATTGCGTGTTCTATAGCAACCCTGTTGACGTTGAAAAATCTTGCCCTGGAGCTCGTTGATTCGCCTCTGTGTCTGAGAAGATGGGAGGGAAAGATAAAATGGTAGTTGTTGAATTGAAGTTCGGCAAAAGGAAATATCATTGTGGCTATCCTGTTGAGGGGTAGTAGGTATTTGAAAGTGTGGAAAGAGGGTCTGGGATATTATTTTTAATGGCAGTGCATGATAGAAGTAGGGATTTGTGATTTTATTTATTTGTGAACGAAGTATAAATTTTCTGGATAGTGTGTCTGGCTGTCATGTAAATACAATAGTGATACGTGGCGGCATGTTAAAGGCGGTATGAAATTTATATTTCGCTATTCGAAAACGCATTAATTCATGGTAAGTGCATTTTATTTTATTTGTTCTTATTTTGTCGAATGTTATGTTCATTGGTTCTTTAGTATGAATTCTGTCGTTATTGTTGTTTTTTAAATTGTTTGAAATTTATTTTAGTTTATTTTGTTGTTTAGTGTCTAGACTGTAATTCGTAGAGTTTTTAAAGCTGAAACAACGTGTGTACATGTATTATTTGAAATTATTTTGTTATGTTATTTTATTAAAGCGAGAAGTGCGAGATTCCTTCCTTGCCTTAATTGGGCATTCGTAGAATTTTTTTTAAGTTTAAACAGGATGCTGTGTACATGGTATTTTGGAAATTTATTGGTTATGTTAATTTATTAGCGAGGGTGTGGCTAGTTTGTAGATTCGTTCGTTGCCTACATTGTTGCCATTCGTAGATGTTTTTTTTAAGTTAAAACATGTCGCTGTGTACATGGATTCTTGTCAAATATTTTTGGTTAGAAATTTTACGTTTTTGCTATCTAAATTTTTTGTTTTTGTTTCGGATTTTTAGCTAAATTGTATGTTGAAAACGTAGTTTTTGGAGACATTTTAAGCTAAAAGTTCGAAATGTAGACAAAAAATTTAGATATTAATATGGCAGCGTGAAGTTTCTCGCCAAAAATATTTGGCGCGAAGTTTGGCGACTTGAGGGCGCATATCAGAGTAGTTCCACAAAGGTTTCAGTTTTTCCTTTTTTCTATTATTTCATTTGTGAAAAGGAGTTCACAATCACTTTTAGGATCCGTATTTTCACCCAATTTTCCATATGCTCTTAATCCTGGAAGATGAAACATATTATACATGGGAGTTCTCATATTTCATTGAGGTTCAATAGATGACCACTTGAAGCAGGCGGTTTCTCCCATAATAATATTTTGTAGATGAAATGGCTTCAGTCTCTGGTTCAGTGATTTATTGTTAGGTTCAGAAAGTTCTGATATTGTGGGAATGCGAACTTTCATTTGCAAAATCTTCTTGGCATTCATCTTCGTCGCTAAATTCACTTTCTACTTTATCAAGAATTCTTTGCAGCTCTTCTGCATAATGCGAATCAGAAGGATATATGATATTTCTTAGACCAAGTTACAGAGCCATGTTTCCACCTGGCACAGAAATCATAACACTGAGAGGAAGGTGCAATCTGACATACCGCTCTCAGACAAAGGACTAGAATTTCACAATGAAGCTGGTGCAAAAAATGTTAGCTAATGAGAGGAGAGCAATATATCAAGATCACAAAAGGGAAAGCTAGCAGAGATATACTCATCAGACAATATAGAGTAGGGGTGATAGGGGTGATAGGAACAACACCTGTAGCGGTATCTGAGACCGCACCTCCTCAGTTACGGGTTAATTGTAACAACCACCATATCATCAAATATGTACTTCTCTATCGCATTGCTCAATCAATAATTCTTGGGATTTTGCTTGTTGATACTAGGGTATATGCTAATGAATCCCAATGTTAAACTGCACTCACTTGTCTAATTTTAGTCTAGCAAACTGAATTTTTACCTGTATGCTGCTTATGCCACTCAAATACCCACCCACTGATGAGATAATCAAAAACAGTGTTCATTAGATTAAATTTAAATATTCTTTTACCTTCTGAACTCCTAAATTTGTATATGAAATGCTATAGCTCATTTCTACCATGATATTACAAACAGACTGTGTATGAATTTATTGATATACTGCACAACAATTTGCACGCGTGACACTATTTTAAATACAGGTTGAAAGCTGTTCAGTTGCGCTTTTGATATGTGATTAATTAACATGGATGTATCAACGTTTCAATGCTAATGTATATATCAACATTTAATGTTGATCATATGAGCAATTAACATCGATATATCAACATTTCTATAGTTGTGGAGATTAAACAATTGGCTTTCATCACACCTGATCAGACTCTAGGATGACGTGGGGACAGGAGCTGCATTATGCAATTCATTTTCATCATCGGAATCTGTATCAATGATATAATCCCTTAATCACAAGGCTGCAAGACACTTATATTCAAAGGCAAAAAGATAAGCTTTATAGCTTTCAATACAACGTTCAGGTGAGCAGGAGAATTATCAATTATCATTTCAACTTTATGCTTTTCTAGTAAGAACCGCTCATCTAACTTTATGATCCAATTGGTGAACATCGTAGCTCATACCTATTCTTATTTAGTGCTCTGATTACATCTGCACAGGGCCGGATTTAGACTTGATAAAGCCCTAAGGTATTTGAGATATGGGGCTCTTTATAACTCCAGATATTATATGTCAGTGCCACATATGATTTTAGAATGTCTAGAGAGCTTTTTGGAGTGCTCCCAAGAAAGTGGGAACCTTAAGCCATAGTTTGTGTAACCTTATACGTAAATCCTGCACTACATCTGCATGACTTATTTTCTGACCTTTGGCATTTCTCATGTGTAATGTGGATACAATATAATTTTGCTTCAAAAGTTCTCCATGAAGGTATTCTTTCCATGTAACATGTACATGCCATATCATAATCTATTAACCAGCCAGTATGACCATTTTTTTTAATAATATAACCATTAAAATCACTCTTTTTACAATCAATATATATTCAGTATTGGATATACTATTCTTTGCATGCATTATGTAATTTCCTATCAGTTAAGCTTATATGCTTAGATTATATCCTTAGTTTAGTTATATGCTTAGATTTCAGACTTTTTTAAAAATACATTAAATATTTAATTGTTTCAAAATAAATTTACTACCGAATGGTTTGAGAAGAAATAAAGATCTGTTGCTTTGAACTTTAAAGTGCCATAACAGAATACTGTAATAAGGATAAATAAATATTTTTTTCTGTATGCTTGGTAGAATTTAATGTATGGTTTAAATATTTATGAATTTTTAGAGAGATTATTATTCTTAACACTAACTGAAAATGATATATATTAGAATTTATTTATGAACATCTTAAAATTAAATAATCATATTTCATATTGAATTCATAATACACAAATGTGAATGCAATTATGGAAAATTATGCTATTTAAAAAAATTGTTTAGAAAATGTATTGTTCTGTAATAGCAACAGAAAGCTTCATTTGGCATTATATTAAAAAAATTATGAAAACATGAGCTCCAAAACATTATTTTTGAAATAACCATTCATAACTTTCCTATTTAATAATAATTAAAATGTTACATGTTTGTTACTATGATTTAAAACTTTGACATACAGAAAATATGTAAAATATAATTGAAAATATTGCATATAATTGGGAAATATTGATATTATTAAAATAATTTATACCTTCTTTTCAGTTATTGATATCAAAAATCAAATGTTCTTTAAAAGAATATCTCTTACTTTCTTCATATTCAAGATGATTTTAAATATGTGTTTTGAAAAATTAGAAAGTTATGATAATGTAGTGGACTTATTGTAAGAAAAATTTGTAGTTGTCTGCTCTTTCTAAGAACTAATGGTTCAAAATTTTGTCTAATAACATGGTAAATGTATTCTAGAAATATAGGGTCCACTAGTGACTAGTGGGAAATTTTAAAAGTCCATTAGTTCATTTTATGCTTATGAGGGGGCATGGACGTTTTGTATTATTGTTTGCTATTTGTTAAACATGAAGCAGTGATCTGGTATAGCATACTTTTTGTGTTAAATCGTTTTATATAAATGGTGACTGTATGACTTTAGCTGATACTGGAATGATTGAAAAGCCATTACACAGTCCAAACATTATGGTATGGTGTGTGCACTTCCATTATCTGGTATTATTGGGCCATATTTTTTCCAAAATGCTAAAGGAAATTCTACAATTGGTAATGCAGACCCCTCCCTACACACACATGGTCAAAACATTTTTGATGCAACATTCCCTATGTTTCTGGAAATTAATTTTTTCCAGCAGGATGAGGTTATATATCATACTACTCATGTGCTACTTTAAAGCAAACTCTTCCTGGATGGATTCATATCCAAACATGGTGCATCTCATGGCCTGCAAGATCCGCAGACTTTTCTGCATGTAACTTTTTTATTTGGGGATTTCAAAAGAACAGGGTTGGCCCTAATAAATAGTAATCCATACTGGAATTAAAAATAAATATTAGACAAGAAACTGTATGAATTCAATCTGACGTGTTTTATCACGGGATGGAACATTTTTTATCTATATTAGAAAAATGTTTACTGTGGCATTATTTTTAAAAAGTAAAATGACATACATTACTCAACTAAAATCTGAAAAAACAAAAAAAAAAAAAAAAAAAAAAAAAAAAAAATTATTGGGGGGAGGGATACTTTTAAAATTTCCTACATCACTGGCAGACACTGTACTTAAATCTAATTATTCATAAATTATGAAAATGTACATTTTAAATTTTATAAAATACATAGATACATCAAATAAATGTATTTGTGAATAGAGAGAGAATTTCAAATAAAAATTACTGAGATAACAAAAAGAATTAAAAAGGTCATTTATTTTCTCATTTCTGAATAGATAAAAAATATTACAAAAGTGATACTTTTTTTAATTACACATAATCCAACCATTACCAATCTACAACCCACAAACCAATATCAAAAGCAACTGTATTTGTGTTGAATCCCATTGCCTTTAAGCTGCTTAGGAAATAAGAAAATGTTTTCCTTGTGTGTTGCCTTGATACAGATTCTAAATGTGTAGTTCCTTCATCTTCTAGGGTTAAAAAATATAAATAATGTATGTGATTAAAAAATTTGCTAATAAAAGTTGAAATCTGAATAGCAGTTTACTACTATTCTTATTTAATGCAAAATGTAGTAATCATACATTATCAAATTTATGTAATAGAATGAATTTAAAACATGTCAACTTCAATTTAATTCCATTAATTTACAATTAAAATATTGAAGATTTTTATTATAATTACTGGAAAACTTATTTACCTCAAAACTACATATTATCTCTGTAGTGGAATTTTTTCCCCTCATTTTGTTTTTATTTTATCAAAACATGTAACATTTTTGGTGTGAATGAAATCTGTTAGAACAATTTTATTTACACATTTTTAAAGATATATGCTGAAAATAAGCTGTCTAGTTTTATTATGATATCACTGTTAACTGCTGAGCATAGCAAATTTTTTGTCGTTCTTCTCCCGTTCTGAAGAAAAGAAACCTGTGTCTGATCACCCTGAAAATTTAATTCAAATTTTACACAACTGTTTGTTTCTTCTTTTTTGCCTAATCAAATTGTAAGGATATGTAGCTCTTAGCTAATAATCAGTTTTATAAAAACTAGACTCGATAGATATAAACTACAGTTTTGAAATTCTGCTCATTCATTAAACATTAATTTAATAATAAAAATCTATGTTTTCAAATTTAAATTATTTTTCTTACTTAAATCTTTTTCTTACTTAACTATAAATAGTATAAATTTAAGAGAATAAATATTTTCATTATTGAAAATTTGTGAAATATATAAAAGCTATAATAATACAGCTTTTAAATACATAAAACATTAACATAGACGCTTTTATTTAGATACAGATTTCTATTATTAATTTGGAATTTATTTTGAACCGATTAGTTATATTTTGTTATCTTACTTATTAAAAACTTTTTTTGTTGTTCTAAATCATATTTAGTTTTACCAATCATATGAAAAGATTATTAATTCATGACAGCTTACCCTAATTTTTATTATATAGTTATTCTGAATAAAAATATTATGAATTTTCAGATATGGCATATATACATTTAAAGAAATACCAGTTTGACGGTATAGTGGTTAGGGGAACCTACTGTGGTACCGAAGGGCTCGGGTTTGAATCCTGGAGGAATCATGGTTATAACTATCTGTCCTTTCATAGGAGGTAATGGTGGCTACCTCTGCTGCCTTCTTAGGAGTGGCCAATAATGAATAGGCAAGTGCCTCCCATTGGATTAAAAAAAAAGATATATAAATCTGAAAGCTTTCAGATTTTACACTGCACCCAAAGGAGCATTTTTTTAAAAACAATTTGTGTGTTACTTTTATTCATTAAATATCATGTTATTCACAATTAAAACCACATAAAATTAAATTCAACAGTAATATTATGAAATATTTAAAAACAGCATATCTTTAGAGTTTTCAATAGACAGTCTTGCACACTGGAGATAAAAATGTTTTTTTTTTTTTTTTTTCTGGACAGTGTTGTCATTGCTTGCTTTAAAATCGAGTTTGTTAATCAGAAATTTGTTAAAACTTTACAAAATGTGAAACAGATAATAAAACAAATTCAAAATTCAGGCTTCCAGGCCATGTTCATGTGGAGGATTACGTTATTCAAAATTTGATGGCTCTAAATACTGTCTTTTTTCACAACGTGAGAAACATACCTACATTCATGCACATTCTTCTTTATTTAATCTCATGATCTAAAATAATACAGGGCAATAATATTTGGTGGCAACAATTTAAAAAGTGATTCAGCCTTTTACAGTGAATCAACACAAATTCATGTATTGAGAGTAATAGCTCTTTTGAGCTAACGCTCCTTGAGCTTTAAAAAAAAATTAAATAGACTAGAAGGTTTGAAAAACAAGAATTCCAACTATGTAAATTATATAAAACAGATCACCGCCTTAAATTAATTTACTACACGACACTGCCAAATTAAACTCTAATAATAAATGATGAATAAGAAATAAGGAGAATGAAATAAAACTGTTATACTTGAAAAATAAAATTTTTGGCCTTTTCGTGACACTATTCTGAAGCTCTCTAAGTAACTGAAAGTACTATGTATCAGAGGAATTTTTATTGCCTTTAGACATAGTATCAAGAAACATTATGATAGTTATGAGGTAGAGTTGTCAACTTTTTTTGCCTCCACTAGAATCAGAGCACTTTTGATGAGCATTATGATAACTAAGAATGAATTTATAAAAATTTTGCAAACAATTTTATTATGCATCAAGCTAATAAACAATTGCACATGTAATCGAAATTATTACTAATTTATAACCAGAGTCGTAGCTAGTATTTACAGCGCCCAGGGCAACTGAAGATTTCATGCCCCCTACTGCTTGCCAAAGATGGAAAACATTTAATTCTAAAACGTCGTAACATCAATTTGGCGCCCCTTGGATTCTGTGCCTGGGGACAGATGTCCCCCCTTGCCCCCCTCTAGCTACACCCCTGTTTAACTCATGATCTAAATTACAAAGATTCTAATCATCAGTTCTTTACAGACACACACACACACACATATATATATATAAATTTTTACTCAGTGCTGAATGCTTGATATACTAAGAATAAATCAAAAGTTTTTTTTTTTTATTAAACATGTATTAATTCTTTCTTAAGCTATTATCTGTATTTCAATGAATTTGGTTTTTGCTTCATTCCTCAGATATTCACTTTTCCACAGTGAAAATTTTTGTGTTTTTTATCATTCAAAGAACAAAATTCATCATCATTTTTTACATTTATGCAAATTTGAAGATGAGTAAGAACATTTTGAATTTATTTAAATTATTATTTTTTCAAGCAAAGTAAGAGCAAGACTAGACAGACAAATAGTCTGAAATATTGATATGGTTTTAATGCAGCAGTAAAGAAGCTCACAGAAATTGAGTTATATTGGATTTTTTTCTGAACGATAGGTTGTAACTTGTTTAAAACATTATATACTATTTTTTTTAATGTATCCTTCTTTCTTTGCAAAATTTTAATCATAGGTTCTTTAAATGTATTATATGATTCAATCTAAAAGTCTGAAAACTCAGTGTTTTTGACATTTCAATAAAAAAATTAACAATATTAGAAAATTTATGATATGCTGCAAACATTTTATGTGGTTCTAATCATTTAAATAGGTCTTCAAAACTTTATACATTTCACTTGTACTTTGAGCATAACTTGTAATTCGTTTGTAATTCCTATAATAACAAGTTAACAAATAAAGTTTATGTTTTAGTATTTCATTACATTCAATACTTAAAAGCCAATCAAAAAAAAAAAAAAAAAAAAAAAAAAAAAAAAAAAGTATTCTTTTGGCAGGAAACAAGCTTCTTTTGTCTTCTTTTCATTTCTGTTAATCTCCACATGCACCTTAGGTATATTTAGTGAGCTGCTTTCAATATCAAAATCTGAATATTACTAGGTATCTCATCAGCTTCATCCATAAAATATATTTTTATGTCTCTTCTTTGAACAAATGCAGATAAGTGTCCATAAATCTTCACAGATACCTTGTCCATATCTAACATATCACAAACACATTTATTGCCAGTATGGATTATACGGTTGGTGCAGTTTACTTTCAATGCTCTTTCCATTATATAACAAATTCATTACAGTTTTGTTCTTCCCTAATTTACATTAACTATGCAATAAGATGAAATGTTTACATTTGAAGAGTGAAACTCAAAGCTTTAGAAAAGAATCAAAACATGAACACCACCATCTTATGAGCTTGTCCCACAAAATCTAATTTTTGATGGGGACAAAAATATCTAATTACTAGAAGCATTTGTATGTTATAATTTGCAGTGCAGCATTATTGGACAGAAAAATTCGGATACTACTACACTTTTTAAGTGCATCTAATATGTCACATACATTTCTCGGTACTAAAAATTTTATGCAATTGACTCTGCCTCCAATATACTACCATGTACATTGGTGGGAAAAACTAAAGGAATAACTATAAACCTCATATAAGTATTACTTTGCAGCTAAGAACTTTGAACTTTTATTAAATCTTTATTTAGTTATGCCTGACATATCTTCAAAATGTAGAACTCCATGTCTACAAAAAATAAATGTGAGTAAGAACATTTGAAATGTGATACTAGAATAGGATAAGGAAAAGATAGTGCTAAGTTTTCAGAGATATACAGAAAAGATTAAGAAGGTGCATGGACACATATGACTGAAATGCAAGTTTTACAGCAATTTTCTGCACTTTGTATTAGACTGTCCAAGAATTCTAGACGTAACAAAGTGTATTCATGATGAATAACATCTTGAAGCTCCTAGAAGTGGCAGCCAGTAATGCTGTCCTTCTTGTGTTCCACGTGTCTTCTATTGCATTTAGATTTGGAAAATATGGAGACTACATAATCAGTTTGGATTCCTTCATAGACAAGATCATTGTGCAATGCAATGGAGACAAGTATTATCATCCATTAGGAAAATGATATAACCAATTGTACTTCTAAACAACTTGACTCGCGAGTAAGAACATTATCTCTGTATATTTCAGGATTCATAGTTGCACTAGTAAAAATGTGTAGGTCAGTATAGCCATTCAAAGTGATGCTTACCTATACCGTGATTCTATAACTTTATATTGATGCCTTTTAGGGATACTTTCATTCTTATTATATGTGTTTACTCCCTCCAGATTGTCACACATCTGGAATCACTCTCACAAAAATTGAGATTTATCAGTAAAGAAAACTTAGAAACAGGCTGTAGTACTCTAATTACAATCATCTCTGCAGAAATGTGATGAAGTTAAACTCACAACCTAAGTTAATAATACACAAATCATGCTCTGTTTTATACGACCTGTTACTTACAGTATATCTGGATAGTTGAACTCTTGTAGCTGGAGCAAATTCCCTTACAATCACAGCTGACATAACTTGTGTATTTCTTTAGACAATCATTACAAAATAATGGTTTCGACAGTCCATGGTGGCACGTTTTACACTTTGATCTGGTTGCCTGCAAAAATCATGAATGTTTTTAAAATATTTTCACGTTCTTGACATGACACTGTCTACCCTGTTTCAATTCTTTCAATTGCACGCCATTTCTTACAACCCTCAAATGCCTTTTCAACAATATATTTGACCTTCCAGATGCAAAAATTTTACCTAATTACTTATAAAATAATTGAAATTAGAATTTGTACCCCCTTGCATTCCACTCCTTTCTGTGCCTGCCAAAAGAACAGGTGCAAATATCTGCATGTTTCTTTACAGCAAAGATGAATCCCATTGAACTATATGGATAGTGTTAGCTTTGAGCTACCAACCAATTACCTTTCATTGGCTTTCTAGTAATAGAATTAACATACATTTTTAATGTTGTCCTTTAACTTTTCCTACCGGTGCATTTCTTTAGCATCTCAGACATAATTATATCTTTTGCAAAATTTATTTGCATCTCTATGCTGCTGTAAACTTAGAATAGTTCTCATAGTATACACTACTAACTTTCCTTCTGCAGTTCTATCAGCTTCATTACTCATGCTTGGACACTGAAAACAACTTGAGATCTAACAGGCCTGTTTATTCCTCTAATTCTGCTTTTGTGTTGTGAAGTATTAGTGTACTAAAACAATCAATGTTATCAGTAGCAGATGTACTGAATTCATGTTTACAAAGTAATTAATTATATGCTTGTTATTTTTAATGACAATAATCTACGTACAACTTTCTTTACACTTTTTCTGATAAATGCTTAACATTTTACTTTTTTTTAAAAGGTAGGGTTTTGGGTTCGCCTATATTATATGCTAGTGTTATTAAGAAGAAAAAATGAATAATTTCAACATTACAGAACCCCTTCCCCAAAGAGCAAATGATGAAAAGTACAAATTATAAAACACAAACTGAAAGTAGAGTTTGTAATCTTACCACTCAGTATTGATGAAATTATGCTATTAGTGTTATGTTAGTTGTACAAAGATCACTAAAAAATTAAATTTCTCTAAAATATATAGCACATAAAAGGCAGTATGTTGTTATTTTTTGAACTGTAGGAGTTATGAACTCCCTGTATGAATAAAAAATGAGTTATCGCTTAAAAATTCAGTAGAATATGAGTTCTTATATATACAAGAGAGCTAGCAACTCTATGAAAAAGTCCATTTTAAAAATTCCCAATTCAGAAAATTCTCTTCATACAGCATCTATTTTATGAAACCTATCAATTTCAAATTATATAAAAAAATAATGTGATCATTTAATTATTTGATACTTCTCTAGAATTTATGCTTATATAAATTACTTAATAATTATGTCTTAAGTAAGTTTAATTAATATAAAAATAAAATAAATTTCCAATATTGATAATGAAACAGCTCTCAAGATTATACTGAAACTTCAGTGAAAAGATTACTTGCACCACATGATAAACAGTTAAAAATTGCATTATTCTTTTGAAATTACTTTTATTCAAATATCATATTCATTTGTAAATTCTATATTATTTATTATCATATTAGTACTTTATAATTATAGCAGCAGCCATTTTTGTAAATGGCACCAAGATTATCAATAAATTGTGAATGCAAGCTATCTTCAAATGGCTGGAAGTCCTAATGACAACAATTTAAAGATTGTTACAGAAGAGCTCTGAGTAAATCGTGTCTTTTTATTATTTTTTCTTATAAATGTTAACATTTCATGATCATTTACAGTTCTCTCATCATGAGAACTTTGAGTATTTTGCATGTTAATGCATTTCCTTTTTTCAAAAAGAGAAAAGAAAATGTTAACAATACTTGATTTACCAAGAAGTGAGAAAAATTATACATCATTCTTCCAAGAAAAATGCATTTTAGTATGTAAATTGCATTTGGGTATGTAAAAATGCCCATTAGATAAAACTACATATCAGTGAAAAGCATATGGAGGTGAAACATGAAAAGCTGCAAGTGAAGAAAAAGCATATGTTTTGATAACTTAAAAACACTGTTTGTAAAAGTACAGCAATTTATTTACCACTGAGTGGATGCTCTGTTGTTAATTATGTGGTGGGATATGCGACTAAAAATACATATCTTGACTACAACAGTTTTATGACAGAGATTTGCTCTCTACATCTAATCCAACAAATATATTAATCACAAAGAAACTCAAAAATGCAGACTTTCATGATAAACCATATATTTCATTCTGTTCAACCAACAACAGTTGCTCATATACAGAATATTGAAAGACTATGGTGCTTTACTCATGGAGGAATTAAAAATAAATGAGGTGCAGTTTGCCATCATCACAAGTTTTACCTTGTGGAGTTTATATGACCACAGTCCAACAGATGAGAAAGTGCTTCTGATGCCATATTAAAAGCAACTGCAGAAGGATGGCAGCCACAAAGTATTATCAGAAGTAAACAATTTAGCAATAATCCTGATGCCAATTTGGCATTAAAAAAATGGGAGGTATAACAATATGGGAATACCACTATCTTTTATACTAGATTAACTATGAAAACATATGGTGAAAAAAATCATAATACTATTCAGTTTTGGAGTGTGGACCCCTTATATTTCTTTCTCTGGCATATTTTTGATCAGAATTTGTATAAAACTGAAGTAAAGTCATTTCGTCATTATAGCATCATATGTACTGTCTGCTTATTATTTTTCAAAGGTTTTTACATATGGTTTTCTAATTCTGTGCATTCACATATATTTATATGAGGCTTATATACTCAGATATGAAGAATAGCAAACCACAAAATTTCACAGAAAATCAAATATTTTGAATACTGGATGTAATGAAATTATACAATTTAAATATCACAAACTATGATTCATAAATAGCAGTTCCCCCCGCCCCAAGAAACAAATATATAAGATTATAAAGAAAAAGGTACTTACCCACATTCTTTCAGACAATTCAAGTAAAAAGAGAGAGGAGAGAAAAAATATTATTAAATATATAAACATAAGAAAATTATAAAAAGAATGTCAAAGATGTTAAACATTTGGCCAAGAAAATTTTTAAATTAATGCTTTAATATTAAAACACAATACATAATTTCATGTTTATTTTGTTAAAAAATCATTCTGAAGAGACTAACGTTTACATACCATAGAATTTGTAACTATTTGTAACATACAAACAACGATTAAACATAAATAGTTCATTAAAGATTTAGATTTATAAATAAATGGATCTGCCAAGTTTCAGAAAAAGAAAGCCATTAATTTATTCATAATTTTTAACTCAGAATTTAGTAGTGTTTATTATTATTGTTGTTGTTATTATTATTACAAGCTAATCACATCATCAATCCCTTGAAATTTTTCATTTTAGATAAAACTGAACTTTTAGGTATATATTCTGCTGTCTTTTAAAATTAATTTTGAATATATATAAAGAATTGATTTATCCCCTTTTCCTCAGATCCTGAGTTTAAATGCGTTGCAAAGCCTCACCATTACTGGTTTGTTTACAACATGCCCAAAGTAAATAGGAATAGATGCTTAAGAAAAGCATTTATTGATATTTTCTGCCTATAAGACAACAACAACAAAAAAAAGTTGGTTCAATTCTAGCACTTATAAGTGATAATAGCATATATGCACAGAACATAATGACAGAATTAGCATTGGGATTCGCTTTAGGGAAAACCTTATTGATCGGGTACTTGAAAATAGTGTATATTATTTTTGCTTTTAATTAAAGAGCATAAAAATTATTTTATAAATCATTTCATTGCTGGATATATAGTTTTGTTGAAATTAAATGTTTTTTATAAAGGCATTCTTACATTCTTCAGAAAATTTCCTATTGCTTATCTGTTTCTGACTATTATACTTTCTTCTTGTACTTGTTTTTGATTTGAATTACGTTAGAGCTTCATATAGGAAAAAATAAATACTTTTTTTTAAGTGTCTCATATTTGTTAAAAAGAAAACATTCTATTTATGTGATTGTTAAAAAAAACAGCTTGTAAACAGTCATTGACTTTGTACTCACTGATTCTCTTTGGTAAAACTGAAAATGACTTGTGGACTTCAAAATAGCTTTTTTTTTTTTTTTTTTTTTTTTTTTTTTGTTAAAAAATTAATCTTCAGATTTACCTGAACTTTGAGGAGAAAATATTTTAGTCTGGATGGATTCTGAAGATGAGACTCCTTTTATATCATGACTGGCTGATGATGAAATTATTTAAATGATATTAAATCGAGTAGATGAAAATTTGGATACTGAGTCTGAAAATGAGTGAAGTAGAAATTTTTTTCAATAAGAGTCTAGTATTAGCCCAACAGTATCTAAACTTTCTAGAAAAAACACCAGAAAGGCAACAGAAAATAAGGAGATAATATAGACTTAAATGAAAAATAATGAAAGAGAAACTTAAAGTGTTAAAACAAGTAATAATACAAATGATATTCCAAAGGCATAAAAGTAATTATTTATAATATTAATATATGTATTGTAATATATTTAAAAAGAAAATGTTTTATACTAAATTCATGATACATGAGTTTGTTTTAAGTTATTTATTAACAATAATCAAATATAGTGTAAAAATTAAAAAGAGAAACGTATATAAAACTCAGACATATAATCTACAAAAGTCACTAATTATCACAACTCTTGCTGTTTAAACATGCAGATTAAAGGAATTCTATTGTATTGAAAATTCATAGCTTTTAAATTATTTTACAAAAATGCTGTATGGATTATATATTTGTATAATATCAAATAGACATAAAAATTAAATTTACAACTATTAATTTTTCTAGAAAATTTCACACCTTCTTTTATTTGAACAGTTCAAATGATAATCACTAACAAAAAGTGGTTAGCAAAATTACTGGCTAATTTTATTATGAAATATTACATTTATTTGCTTAAGTGAAAAAAAATATTACATTCTACCTTAATTCAATAGTTAATTATATTGTTAAACTTTCTCAAACACAATGAACCCTCTCCCGGTAACTCTCTCCTACAAATAACAATCTTTGAAAATGACCAGCACTTCTGAGAACATATACAAACATAATGTCGATAGCATTTTCTATGATGACTATATAAGATAGTTCTCCCGCCTTAGGGTGGTGGTCAGCACGCTCGACATTAATTTGAGAGGCCCGTGGTTCGAGTCCTGGCGAAGGCATTGCTCATTTTTCATCTCTCCTGATTCCGAAATAACCTGATGTCTCTACAGTGACGCCCAAACTAAAAAAGGTGGTGAATGATGATTCTTCACCACCAGAATTTGGCGACTGGGTCCCGATCTCCAGTCACCCTTTAAAAGGGGGAGCATATAAGGTAGTTCTCCTGCCTTCTTAGCATGTAGTGTAGCGGTCAGAATGCTTAACGCGAATTTGAGAGGCCCGTGGTTTCGAGTCACCGTGAAGCATTGCTCATTTTTCATTTCTCCTGCTTTAAAAAAAAAAAAAAAAAAAAAAAAAAAAAAAAAAACCAACATCTCTACAACTTCTCTCTAACTTGACTGAGATCATATCTAATTTTGTTACCAACTAATGGACCTTAAATGTTACACAAATTAAAGAGTATATTTCTGATTCTTATTGTAACATCAAAATTATATTTATGGAATAAACTATTAGTTGTTTGTTTAAACAAATAGTATTGTGAAGTACACACATCAGCTTTGAATTACGGAACAGTTTTCTTAAAATGATTTAGAAACATTACTGTTATTTGAGCTGGTGGTTTGTCTCAAGGGAGATTGACAGATCTCAGTAAATGAATAATTTAATTAGTATTAAATGTTTTTGAAATTTCTAAAGAAATTTATGTGTAAAGTTTGTTTAAATTTGTTTTTATTTTACTTTAAAGATCTCTCTTCCATATTTTAAAATATTATTTACCAAATATAACTTCGAAAAATGGGTATACAATAGTACCTGTTTATACATTTATTATTTTTTCTGAAGTATTCACTATATAATTAATTTGTAATATTACCAATATAAAGATATTATCAACTGATACACTACTCGACATTGAAAATGCAACACCAAGAAGGACTGGTCAGAAAGTGATGAAATTTGGAAAAAAGAGACAGCAAGCAGCAGTAAGTGATCTTTATTTAAAAATGATAGTCAGAATACAGAACGAGAACGGCGTCGACTCAGTAGGATGTAGGACCACCGCGGACAGCGATGCATGAAGAAACACGTCTAGGCATAG